AATTTTCTCCTCTCTTTCTTGTACTATATGTAGTATTGCTTTAGATCTTTTTTTTTTTTTTTTTTTTTTTTTTTTTTTTTGTGTTTTTTCTTTTTTTTTTTTGTTTTCAAATTTTTTTTTTTTTAATAAATGTTTTTTTTTATTCTTTTTGTTTTTTTTTTATGTATTTTTCTTAGTGTTGTATTTATCTTTTCTATCGCGATTTTTTTCTTTTTTAGAGAATAGAAATAATCGAAATACAAATCATTCTTACCCAAGTTTACTTGTTTGCATTAAATTAGACAAGCTTAGCAATTGCAATCGGTGTCGCAGCAGCAGCACGTCTTGCCGTCAGTGGAATCAAACATTTCCCGAAAATAAAAGCGGCAATCAATAGACCGATCGAGAGACGGCCTAAAGGAGGTTTTGAACCAAAGATGAATAAAAACGAAGCCGTACAGATTTTAGGCCTAAGGTAGTTTTCGAGCTACTATAAAAGTTTTTTTTTACCTCTTTAATTCTTATATAGCATTTAAAATTTTACTATTAGAAACGTCTCTCTGAGTAGAGCTAAAATTAAGGAGGCTCATCGTCGTATCATGCTGCTTAATCATCCTGATCGAGGGGGATCACCTTATCTAGCAAGTAAAATCAACGAAGCCAAGGATTTACTTGAAAAAACCACTAAGTCATAATAAAAGTAAACAAGTATATGTTTCTACATGGAAGAAGCTGAAGAGTTGTTATCGCAGGTACAGCATTTATTTTGTCAAATTCAAAAATTTTGGTTTTTTATTTGGTTTAATAAAGAGAACACAGATCACCTTTTAGTAAGTCAATAAAAGGAAAAATTAAGAAAAGGAATCCGTAAATTTATTATTTCTCAGAAACTTTGGTAAAGAAGGATGTCATTTTTTTCATTCCAGTTCTATTAGCTTTCGCCAACGATGATTGTCCGTGTGTTAATTTGCGTTTCTATGAAATAAGAACATTGCTTAACACCTTAGGATAAGGAAATATGCGATTATCAAAATTGACGAAACTTATCTACCTTGACTGACTGTTTGACTTCTTGGATTAATTGTTTATTTGTACAATATTCAGAAGATACTTCTGTCATATACACAATGCCCTGATTCTCCCATTTTCCAAGTTCATCAAACCTATTTCAAGAATCAATAATTAAGTATATATTCATATTATTCATGTTTATAATCTTTACATTGCAACGGAATAAATTAACTCACTTATATTCTTTCTTCAATTTTTCGGCCCAATAATTTGATAAATATTCCATGATAATTTCCAACGCGAACTTTAACCGAAGCTCTTATTTATTAAACGCACGCTTTTATAAGTATTATTTTTTCATTTGTAGCAAAAATAGACTTTCATCTCACCTTGAAGATGTCGATTATCTATTGTATTATTTTCCAATTGTTCAGAAAGTTGTTTTAGGGATTTGTGTTTATCAAAATTCGATAAAAGATTTTTGACCTTATCAATGGTAAGAAAAAAAAAAGACTATTAATGCACCTGTTTCAATTCTTTAATGACAAAAAAAAGTATTACCTTTGCTTTTAACCAAACCATTAGTTTACTGTCGTTCAACCTGTACAATTTGTCGCTCTGATCTAGATCTGTTCAAATAGCATAGCATTAAAGACGGTATAAATTAAAACACTGCATAATATGAATCTACCTTGGCTATCGCAAATCCATTCCAAATAGGTTGAAATATTATTTATTGATGAAAGTCGCGTCATGCCGGGATAATCTGTGTTACATAACATATCTTCTAGTGTAAGAAAGAATCCCTGGGATTCTGAGCTCTGAAATTAGGAAAGGATAATTATGTATAAAATCTTCAGCGAAAAACATCGACGGGTCAATGAATTTACCTTTCTTCGGCAAGCATCCAAGATTGGTATCATTAAAAATAACGGATCCATTCGCGTAAAAAATATGAGGCTTCCATCTGTTTCGTAGAGATGTTTTACATGTTGAATTCATTTCGTGAATATTGTAAAAAATTTTTTACCTTTCTTTACAGTGTTTTCGATGAACCACGATTTTCGAGAACTACAGTCAACACGCTGGATTTCAAACAAGTCACAATCTTGAATAATATAACGCGCAGGCAATCCTATTAAAAGAAAATCCGTGAGCATTTGTTTATATATAATACGTAAAACTTTATGTTATGTTTGCATAGAATCACCGGTTCTTGGGTGAGGAAGCCTGATTGAAATAATATCCTTGTTGCTCTCTTGACCTGCGGAAACCGAGCCGTCAACAAAATATTAGATTAATACATCCCACATATTGTCTGATAGAAAATCCTATTATACTTTCTTTTTGGTTTTATACACATCCATTGAGACATTTGAAATGAAATTTTTGGTATCACGCGACGCGAATAATTAATTAACGGAAAAACGGATCGTTACACGCGGCAATGGTGTACGATTAACTTATCATTTGAAAGATTAAACTACTTAAAAGATATACAAAACGCGTCTTAAATTAGGTATTCTAAATTAGATTTATCTAGGCACTACACTTAGACCTTCTAATTATCAATATCGATTATTTAAAACTCATAAATTGAATTAAATTATAAAAAAAAGAAAAATTAAAATGCATAAGTAAAATAACAAAAAAAAATTTAAAAAAAAACTATTTCTATTGATTCTCTGACTATATACAAAAAAGATGTTCACCTTCTTTGCTAATAAAGTCTTAATATTTTCCTTACAACAACTTGAAGTTTGACTTCAAGAATCATATTTATCTTTTCCCTATTGTTTATAAACCTTTTCACCCAAAAACTTGACTTCCAATGGTCAAGAAAAGTCAAATAATACCTTTAATATCAATAGCAAAAAAGTTTTCAAAGGAAAAAAAATTGATTGTAAAATACTTGAAAGTCTTTTAACCTTTAAAGCAAGCTTCTACTTTTATAGTTTTTTGAAAAATTTTACCTACTTCAATTTGATTCTGAATTTTGGATAATACAAATCCTTATCAAAAATAATTGGTTAATGTGAAACACATTGGTTTTTAAAATATAAACAAGTTCCTATTGGTTATATTCACATATTTCAATAATATAATTGATAATTAAAAATAATATTCTAAAAATGTTTACTTTCCAGAAATACAAATTCTTTAAAAAAATATCTATAATATCAAAGATAAGTAATATAAATTGCAAATTTCTATTTTTTTTATAAGTTCCTCAAGTGGTAACAAAGTTTTAATGAAAAAAAGTTAAGGTCTAAATACTTTCCATGAGATATTTCATTCTAGTACTCACTTAAATAAAGAATTAATTGAATTGTCTTATTTAATATCATAGATAATGACAAAGAAGATTTTTTTTAAAGTTCAAGTAAAAAAAAAAAAATTTTCAATTAAACAATTTTTTTGAAAAGAGAATAGTTTTGTTTTTGAACTTTTTTAATAAGATCTTGAATTGTTTTCTTTTTATAATTATAAATTTTCTTTTTCTTTTTAATTTAGCGAATTATTTGTTTCAAATTAATTAATAGTAACAAATTATTGGCAATAATTCTAATAGATAGATGTTATAATTAATTTATTAGAGAAGTATAATATTGTTCACAAAATTCAAAAAAACTCTTTTCACTAATCCTCTGACCACACACAAAAAAGACATTTGCAAGAAGTTTTATACTTCCAGGTTAACAAAGTCTTACCACTTTCCTTAAATCAACTTGAGAACAAGTTTCCCAAGAGTCATCCCACTACTTCACTATCTCTTTTTATATCTTGCTACAAAAAACTTGTCTTCTAGTGACCAGAAGACAACTCTACCCTTCTTACCAATGGCAAGAAAGTTCTGAAAGGAAGTAGACTTGACTCCTCTATCTCCTTTTCACCTATCTCAAAAACACTACAGAGCTTAGTTTGTGATGAGAGACTTTTTAGAAGACAATCCCACCACTCTCTTGTCATTGTGAAGGCTTTAATAGTGCTTTTTCACAGTTTTCTCTGAGAGATTTTTTTTACCTCAGTTTGATCCTAAATTTTGAGTAGCACAAAGTTTCTGGTGCTGTGATTGGACAATGGAAACACGTCAGCAATCCAAGATGTAAGCAAGCTTCTATTGGCCACCTCATGTGTTTAAATACATTTCCTCAGTTCCTATAAGAACCTGTGATCCACCATAAGTTGCATGCCAGTCACACGGGTGGATATAGGACACAGTACCCAACACATCTCAGAAAACAGAAAAGAATCCATCCGACCATGGAAAAGGTCACAAGACACTTCAATTGTTTTTTGAATTGAAGTCACATATCCTTGGCAATCAAGTAGATTTCCTTCACTTTCACAGATAGGTAAAGATCTGTTCTTTCTCTTATAAAAAACAAACAAGGTGGACAGGAAGTTTTTTCCAACTGATAGATTTTTTACTTCTAATCCATGATTTGCTGAAGGACTTGAAACCAAAGCTACATTAAGGCTCCCTACATAACCTCTCCCTTAAGAAAGGCTTTAAAGCTACCAGTGATACCTACCATTCTTACTCATAGTGAAAGTACTAGTTGAAAACATTTGCCAAAATAGAAGAATCCTCTCTAGGCTGAATCTACCTTTGGAAGTTTTTACTTTCTTAAATAAGCAGCAGATGCTTGAAGATGATATTACCTATAGGACTGGATTCGTCAACTCACCAAAGGTTTTAAGGTATCTTTTTGGCCATAGGTTCTACTAGGTCTTTGAATGAATAATTCCCTCCCCTTTTTTACATCTCTCTTCCTTCTAAAGATGAAGAAACACAGTATTCCGGTGGATAATTTGCAAGGCATCGGATTGGTTAATAGTATTCTTTGGTAAATGGTCAGCAGATGTAGAAAATTTAGATCAATTATCAGGTGATCCGCATAGTTTTAAAAATTTTTTTCAGCACTAGTTAGACCTTAAACTAGTCCTCTTTTCCCTTTTAAGAGATGGCCAGATCACAAGGTGAAATCTCTATAAAGGAACACTTCTATTGTAATACTTTATTTGTACAAATGCTTCTTATATATAGTCCTAGAAGAACTTTATTTTCTCTACCTTATATAAAGATCCTTCAATAAAGTTTTCGGCTTAGCCAACATTTTTAAAAAAAAAAAAAAATTGATATTTTAAAAATAAAATAGTTGAAGCTTTATTGAAAAAATTTCAAATACAATATCTCTATTTTATTTCATATTACTTACAAACAAATGAACTAGTAAAATATTTCAATAGAACTTTATGTAAATCTCTAGCAAAAATAAACTGAAGAAAAAGAGGATTGGGATAAATTTATATATTAAAATTATTTGTCTATTATATATATATATATATATATATATATTTATACATACAACATTGTCCATTTTATTAAAAAATTTTCTTTTTTGGCAATTTTCTTGGAAAAACCAGAAGCCAGCCACTACACAAGACAAAAGTCTTTTAAAC